CTTCGAAAGAAGGATGTTACTTATGGAATTGGTATTAAGAGGCCCATCTTGCTCCCCACACCATTCCCAAACCTCAGGTCCAATAGTTCCCAATCAATCAAGCCTCTAGAGCGCTACGTGTTTGTTAGAATTAGCAGGTACCCCTGCTCCTCTGCAGCCTTAGGAGAGAATATACTCACCTTTCTGATATTTCTTAATGGCACTCATCATGTGTGCTTTCTCCCGCTGCCGCTTCTGAAGAACTTCTGTTTGCACCTGGACGTGGACACAGGACTGTCAAACCCACTCCAAGCCGGCACTACAAGTGTCTACATTCTCTCAGTAGCCACGCTGTGACATTACCACCACCGCTGAACACTGACTATGTGCCACAACTACACTAAAGCTCTAAGTATATTCTCTATTTCTCGTCTCAACCACCCAGTGAAGTAGAAATTCTTATGACCCCGAAACTGAAGCACAGAGAGGTTACACAACTTGACTGAGTCACACACGAGAAAGTGCGGAGCTGAGATTCACACCCAGGCAGTCTGCACCCTTACCCCATGACACAACCTGCCTACAAAACTGCACAAATCATGTTTATGTCTACATCCAATTCTCCCACTAATTATATTTGGGCAGATTAAATATCTAACCTACTGTTGCTAGGCATGAAAGTACCAACAGAGAAAACAATCTCCCTGAAAAACAAAGAAAACAAAGAAAAAAAGCTTTAAGGACAAAAAGAGATGATTAAACTCTAAGGCAGCACTCCTCCATCTCAACACTATGACAGCTGCGGCAGGATCACTGTGTGTGTGTGGGGCCACGGCCTGCCCTGGGCACCGTAGGGTGTTCAGCAGCCTCCCTGCCCTCTAGCCACTAGCTGCCAACAGGACGCTCCCCACCAGGACGCGACGACCAAAACTGTCTCCAGCATTGCCAAATGTTCCCTGGTAAGCAGAATTGTCCCCCACTGAGAAACACAGCCCTGAGGTTTCCTCACATTAGAAACAAGGGGCTAATGGACCCGACTAAGTTATTCTTTCCTTTGATAATTTAAGTTATGTTAAACCAATTGCCCAAGTCTTTGAGTTGATCTCAACCACCAACCACATCCATCCAATAGATCCACAGCTGCCCTTGTGCAGAGCCCAGGATGCTAATCTGCTCATACCCTGCTGAGGATCCATCAGGGAAATAACTGCAACTGTGGACGGCAGCTCAGCACCCAGATCACAAGTGTTTACGTCCAAAATGTTAACAAGGTCTTAACACCCATGCTGATCCTCTTTACAGTCATTTCTTCCCACAACCCTAAGTTTAGTTCCTGTCATCTTCCTTCTTAAGTAACCATGAAATAAATAAGGAAATCAAGGAAAGTTTCATGGTATATGCCTTCTGGCTTTACATTAGAACTCAGTCACAGTTCAAACATACTGGTGCCATTTTTTCTGATTGGATAACAATCAATAATATGATTGATTCCTTCAAGGACTTTATAATCATCTAGGCCAGTGATTCTCAAACCAGGATGTGTATTGGAAACATCTGAGAAGATTTAGGGGCAAGGGATGAAAACATACAGATTCCCAAAGTTCCCAAAGCCTAGAAATCTGTTTTGAAGTTTCCCCAGTTGACTGTGCTGTGAGGTCAGGTTGGGAAACCATTGATCTGGACCCAATTCTCTGCTGTACAGGTGTGCAAACTGCAGCCCAGAGAAGCGCATGACTTGCCGGTAGTGACCACACTACCTCTGGCTACACACAGGTGTCCAGGAGGGATTGTGCTCACGGACACTAGCACCCATGCCACTGTGAAACAGTAAACACACGATGGAACACACACGGGGCACGGAACCAACGCAGACCAAGCAATCTACTGACAAACACACTCGGCCCCGTCCCAAGCCCGCTCCTTTTCCTTCCCACCTTCTTTCCGTATTTCCTAAGTGCTCGCAGCTGCTTAGCCTTTTCCGACCTCTCCACGGCGACCTGTTTAGCCTGCAGCTTCTGCCGGATCTAAAACACAAAATATTATCAGCTTATGTTATTTGAAAATGGGATGACTGCTGCTTAGGACGCACTGCGGCAGGGAGCAGTTATCCCCAGCTCTGCAAACTATGGGGCTCAGAGGGACCTTGTGAATCATCTACTTCAAGCCCTGCATTCTACACACAAGGACAATAAGGCCCAGAGGCTGACCACTTTGTCCAAGACACCAGAAGTCTCAGCCTTGCAACCAGGATATCAAAGCGACCTCCCTCCTCCCAGCGTGCTGTTTGATCCATTACGCAAAATGGCATGGTACCAGGAGAGAAGACTAACTTCTCTCCATCCCTACTGTCGGCAGACTGTGGTGAAACCAGTCTGCAGCTTCGGCCCCCTTCTCCAATACACCACATACACAATAAAGGCTCAAACAGATATCAGGTACCTAGCAGCATGCATTAAACATACACATTTCAGTTAAAGGATGAGCAGTTGTCAGTTTGAATGTGCAGAGATGGGTCTGGGCTCGTCTCTAGATTAGCTTCCCTGAGTACACTGAGAAAAGAAAATCCAGCTTGAGACCCAAGGGAATTATTTAGGTATATCTTGGATTAGATGTTGGTAATTCTCTGCCTCCCAAAGTTGAATGAGGGCAAATTCTACCTAACTCTAAATTATATCAAATCTGAGCCACATATTAATCCTTCATTTCACAGAAGAGGAAAACTGAGGCCCAGAGAAAGGTAACTGTCTACCAGTTATAGTGCTGCCCCCAGGCATTGGCAGGAAAGAACTATTGTCTTTTCCACGCATCATGCCATGACCAAGCCAGTTAGGAAATGCATAAAGGCCATCTTTACTTCAGGGACCACACTTCTTACAGTACTTTCCTCCCCTTAACTGTTTAAATTAGGAAAAGGTCACCCTTACATTTATCCAACTGGTGGCGATTGGCACGAATCTGATGTAGATAACTGAGATAATAATTGTCCACTGACAACCCATTCCCTATCAGTGGGCTTATGCCTATGTGTAAATGTTAAAGGAGATAAGCCAGCTGAATACACTTAAGTACAACGCCTCAGCTATCCAGAGGAAACCATTTCTGTTTCTCACCTTCTGCATCTGCTGATCAGACTTGGCCATCTCTGCAAAATAATCCGTGGGCCGCTTGGTAGGGACTTTGAGCTGATGGAGGCGGGGCAATACTGCAAGCACTGCTGCCTGGGCCTGACAGTAGCTGAGGATGTAGGACAAAAGTGTAAAATAAGCTAAGGGAGAGAGGCCTTACATCCTTTTCACTGCTCTCATGAGGCATCCAAGGTCAGGACTCTCAACATCTGACCTCCACCAGCAAGAACACACACACAAACAAAAACAGTAATAAAACCTCATTAAGTTAATGGGAGAAATTGAGATGTACACTCTTTTTAAAAGGAGTGGGGAGTATTGCTAAAAATAAATTAGTAGTTTAAGAGAATGACCACTTTAGAAGTGCCCATTAACTTACAAACAAATGCTAATTACACATTCTTATTTGGTCACTAAGAAAAGCCTATATAAGGGCCTTCCATAAGCAAATTTTTGTTCTAATAATTAACTGCACACACACACACAAACTTTAAAACTGGGTATTTGAAAATAAACTGGACTTTAAATTGTGATTGCTGGACAAAGGGGCTCTTCTCTCAACCAGGGAGAATCTCCTAGCTCTTCAGTCCAAAGAAGCCTTCCTCCCTACACCCCGGCCTACGACACCTCTGAGGAGTACGGGCTCACGGCTTCCCCCTCTCCAGCACAAGAACCCACAACCTCTGCCACATTTGAAAACATACATACAAGCTCATCTCACGCTGAAAGTCATCTTCTGGATCAACAGCTTTCTGATCCTTGTTCTGAGATGTTGCCTGCGGTCCACGGATTGCCGGTACCGGACCCAGGGTCACATCAAGCCTTTCAACCCATTCCAGATCCCGCTTGAATTCAGCCAAACACTGCTTCAGGCCATTCTAGGAAATTCAGACACTAAGCTCGCAAGACAGTAACAGGCCAGTGGACGAAGATCTAACCCCCAAGACCCCGACAGGTAGTTGACCCTCTTGGCAATACGCAGGTTGTGTCTTTCCTGGGACTAGAACGCAGCCTCCCGAGCACAACGGTGCCTCGCGCGCATCCCAAGTCCAGCACCCTCCAACCGGGCGCCCGAGCTCACCACGTCGTTCACGGCCTTCTTCGGCCCCTCTAGCACCACGTTGAGGCCTGGCTTCAGAAGCCCTCGGGAAAACGCCTCCTGCAACTACAGGGCACGATCGGCGGTCAGTACCGGGGAGTGAGGACCCCTCTCCTGCGCGCAGCCCCACGAGCTCGGATGACACCTACCTCTCTGTCTGTGACAAGGGGGTCGTCAGAATCCGAGTCCGAACCTGAGAGCGGGGGAGTGTCCATCTCGCAGCACGCACGTCCACACCCGCCGGAGGAAGCGAAGGCGCCCGAGGCCCCCGCGCCTGGAAAAGGGCTCCCCTCGTCGCCACCTCCGCCCGCTTTCAGCCCCCTGCCCTCCCGCCCGCTGCTCCACGTGGACTCGAACAGCACCAGCTCCCGAAAGCTCCCAGATGCAGCTGAACTTTCTGATAGGAGTTCCGCTTCCGGCTGCTGACACACTTCCGGTTTCCCGTTGCTATAGGAACCGCTCCGGCGTCTGTGAGTGCAGCGTTGCTTGGGATTCGTAGGCGTAGTACCCTGTATACACGCATGCTCTGATGATCTAGAGAGCAGAAGCGACAGGTGGGAACGGTCCCTCGGGGTCGTCCGGAGGAGCAGGAAGCCACGAAGGCCAAAGGAAAGAGGAGAGGCAGGAGAGGGGTCGGGGGCGCGGGAGAAGGTTGCTGGGGGGAGGGGGCGGAGGAGGAGTCCAGGGGAGGATCTAGGGGCGTGTCGCGGGGCGGGGACGGTAATGTGGGCGGGGTGACGCGCTTCTCCAGGCTCACCAGCTGCGCTGCATCTTCAGCGAAACTCCTTACTGGGACCATGTCCACTGTGATAGCTCAGTCGCTGCATGTTTTTGGTCTTCGATCCCACGTGTCCAACAATGTGTTCTTCTTCGATGAACAGATCATTATATTTCCTTCAGGAAATCACTGTGTGAAGTACAATGTGGATCAGAAGTGGCAAAAATTCATTCCAGGTAAAACGCTTTCCAATCTGACGCATACATAACCGTGTATGCCAAATATAACCCCATAATACCGACACGACGATTGAAAGGAAACTTTTTTGGCCAACTTGAATATATATATAGTTCTATAAATGTAGAAGAAATACATGTCTACTTGCCTTATTTAATGTATAGATTAATGAATCATACATAGTTAAAATCACATGTAAAATCATGTTAATTTAAAAGTACGTTTTTTCACTGTGATTTAATGAAAAAATTCTTTTAAAGAGTTTCATGCATCTTCAGTCTCATTGTCTTTGTCGTCACCAGGGCCACTTTTTGAGTTTTCTAACAGTTTTCCAGAGTACACCACTTTCATGACAGCACCTTTTGAACCCATGTATGGTGAAGACACTGGAGATTTCAGCCCAAGTCACACATAACCGTCTGTATACTGTAACATTTGGTTTCGTTTGCATTGGTGCTGCTAATAATATACATGATTTCCACAGCTTAACCACCTACTCTCTTTTTCCACTCTTTTTTGCACTCAACATGTTTTATTGTGACTTGCATACAAAAGACTGTGCACTACATATATGTAATATTTAAAGAACGATAATAAAATGAAGATCTGTGAACCCACCAACAGGAGAGTAAATAGAACATTACCAGTTCCAGTGTTTCTCCCTGACTTCATTCTTCTCACACATGCAGACTCTCACTCCATCCTGGACTTTGTAATTATTCCCTTATTTCTCTACGTAATTTTACCACATCTCTATCTGTGTGGCCTTATGTAAGGTATCCTTTTTGTTTGTGCTCTTCACCAACTTTATATAAATGTAACCATAGTGTATGTATTCTGTGACTTGCTTCTTTTTTTCAACGACATACTTTTGACATTCATGCATCTTGATACATATTAAGTGAGTTCATTTTATTACTCATAGGACTCTAATTCTCAAGTATATTTATCCATTCTAGTGTTGATGGACATTTGGGAATGAACTTTTTTTGCTATTTCAAATGATGCCACTATAAACATTCTTGCACATGTGTACTTATCCACTTGTGCAGAGATTCTCCAGGGCACACACCAGGACTAAAATTACTGGGTAATGTGGCAGTACCAATTCACACTGCCATTCCTCCACAACCTCACCCCCATTTGCTATCTTTCTAGTTTCTATTTCCTAATTTTTGCTCATCTGATGCTTAAGAAAGGGCATCTTATTGTGGTTTTAATGTGCATTTATCTAGTACAAATGAGGACGAATAACTTTTCACACGGTTAAGGGGCTACTCATTCTGTGAAATGTCTTAAGTCTTTTATCCATATTCTGTGTTTTTTGGGGGTAATTTTCTTACTGATTTATGGGCACACTTTATAGTTTATGCTAATCCTTTGTCAGATATATATATATATTATATATATATATATAAAGCAAATAATTTCTCCCAGTTTGAGGCTTGTGTTTTCTTCCTCCTTATGGTATGATGGACAGAAATTCTTAGTTTTAATGAAGTCAAATGTGTCAACTTTTTCCTTTTGTGTCTTGTTAAGGAATCATCCCTTACCCCAAGCTTATTCTCCTGTATTATCTCTTTGGTGCTCTACACATTTGCCTCTCACCTTTTAGGCTCTGGGTTAGGAGGGTGCTGAGTGTGTTAGGGGAATAGCAAGGAGGCCAGTGTGGCTGGAGTGGAGTAAATGGAGGAGGAGTGAGAGGTGAGGCAGAGTAATGGGAGCAACGTCACATGGGCTTTGAGGTCAAGGGCTCCTACTCTGAGTGAAGTGAGAAGCCAGCAGGGGTGGGGGGGTGGGGGCGGGGGGTGAGGGGGGATTCTGAGCAGAGTGACATGATCTGACTTATGTTTCAACAGGTTCCTTCTGGCTACTGTACAGAGAATAGATTTAAGGAGGGGCAAGGGAGGAAGCAGGAGACCAGCTGAGAGACCATTGCTATTAATATAATCCAGCTGAGAGAACATGGTGGCTCGCAGCAGGTGGCAGGCAATAGGGTGGTGAAAAGAGATCAAAGCCTGCCTGTATTTTGAAGGTGAAGGTGACAGGTTTCCTCATAGACCTGATGTAGGTGGAAGAGAAAAGGAAAAAGCAAGGGTTTTGGCCTGAGCAACCAGAAGGATGGAGTTGCTGCTAACTGAAGCAGGAAAGACTTCAGAATGAGCAGGCTTTGTGGAGCGTATCAGGAGGTTAGTTTTTGACATGGGAAGACTGAGATGCCTGCTAAATATGCAGATGGGATCCTAAGCAAGCACTTTGATGTCAGGTTTGGGTTCAAGAGAGAGAGAGGTCCAGGCTGGTGATAGAAATTTGAGGGTCATTAGCATGGAGGTGAAATATTAGGTCCTTAGAATGGATTGGATCCCCCAAGGAGTGAATATGTTTATGAAAGAGAAGGTGAAAGATTGGGCTCTGGGGCCCTCCGACATATAGTGCCAGGGAAATGAGGAACAACCTGCAAAAGAGTCTTTGGAGGAGTAGCCAGAAAGATAAGAGGAAATCCATGCAAGAGGTGAACGTATTTCAAGGAGGAATCAGTCACTGACTGGGTTAAAACAATGAGAAAGCATTTACAGACTCTGCAGTCAGCGTATATTGGTGGCAGGCGCTGGTGATTGAAAGAATGAATAAGCAAGAAAGCCAGACCAGGAGCTCTCAGTATTGTAGTGGAGACAGGTATGTATTCAAATGAGCGGGACTATGTAAATGAGCAGCACACCTGCTAGGCCAAGTACAGCCCTGGTACAAAAGCGCAGAGGAGGGAGTGAACTGTTGCCCTTTCCGTCCTCCAGGCAATCTCATCTATGTGCACACTTTAAACTCCACACCGTGACTTTTTAAAAAATTTTTTTCTAAAGGCCAAAAGTAAATATTTCTTTTATTGTTTTATACAGTGTTTGTTTGTATACCAACTTTTTGTTAACTGTTCCTTCTTGTTTCTCCACCTTCCTTTCTTTTTTTCTTTTTTTAAATTTTTACTGGGGTATAATTGATTTACAATGTTGTGTTAGTTTCAGGTGTACAGCAAAGTGAATCTGTTATACAAATACATATATCCGCTCTTGTTTAGATTCTTTTCCCATATAGGCCAATACAGAGTACTGAGTGGAGTTCCCTGTGCTATACAGTAGGTCCTTATTAGTTATCTATTTTATATATAGTGGTGTGTATGTATCAATCCCAGTCTTCCAAATGATCCCTCCCTCTGCCTTACCCCTCAGTAACCATAAGTTTATTTTCTATATCTGTAACTCTATTTCAGTTTTATAGATAAGTTCATTTGTAGCCTTTTTTTAGATTCCACATATAAGCGATATCATATGTTATTTATCTTTCTCTATCTGACTTATTTCATTCAGTATGAGAATCTATAGGTCCATCCATGTTGCAGCAAATGGCATGATTTTGTTCTTTTTTATGGATGAGTAATATTCCATTGTATACATGCACCACATCTTCTTTATCCATTCCTCTCTCTATGGACATTTAGGTTACTTCCATGTCTTGGCTATTGTGATAGTGCTACAGTGAACATTGAGGTGCACATATCTTTTCCAGTTATGGTTTTCTCCAGTTATATGCCCAGGGTGGGATTGCTGGATCATATGGTAACTCTATTTTCAGTTTTTTAAGGAACCTCCATACTGTTCTCCATACTGGCTGTACCCGTTTGCATTCCCACCAACAGTGTAGGAGGGTTCCTTCTCTCCACACCCTCTCCAGCGTTTACTGTTTGCAGATTATTTTTTAACATCTTTATTGGGGTATAATTGCTTTACAATGATGTGTTAGTTTCTGCTGTATAACAAAGTGAAACAGCTATATGTATACATATATCCCCATATCTCCTGCCTCTTGCGTCTCCCACCCACCCTCCCTATCCCACCCCTCTAGGTGGTCACAAAGCACCAAGCTGATCTCCCTGTGCTATGCGGCTGCTTCCCACTAGCTATCTATTTTACATTTGGTAGTGTATATATGTTCATGCCACTCTCTCACTTCGTCCCAGCTTACCCTTCCACCTCCCTGTGTCCTCAAGTCCATTCTCTACATCTGCGTCTTTATTCTTATCCTGCCCTTCTTCAGTTCTTCAGAGCCATTTTTTCTTTTTCTAGATTCCATATATATGTGTTAGCATACGGTATTTGTCTTTCTCTTTCTGACTTACTTCACTCTGTATGACAGACTCTAGGTCCATCCACCTCACTACCAATAACTCAATTTCGTTTCTTTTTATGGCTGAGTAATATTCCATTGTATATATGCACCACATCTTCTTTATCCATTCATCTGTCGATGGACACTTAGGTTGCTTCCATGTCCTGGCTACTGTAAATAAAGCTGCAATGAACATTGTGGTACTTGACTCTTTTTGAATTATGGTTTTCTCAGGGTATATGCCCAGTAGTGGGATTGCTGTGTCATATGGTAGTTCTATTTTTAGTTTTTTAAGGAACCTCCTTACTGTTCTCCATAGTGGCTGTATCAATTTACATTCCCACCAACAGTGCAAGAGGGTTCCTTTTTCTCTACACCCTCTCCAGCATTTATTGTTTGCAGATTTTTTGATGATGGCCATTCTGACTGGTGTGAGGTGATACCTCACTGTAGTTTTGATTTGCATTTCTCTAATAATTGGTGATGTTGAGCAGCTTTTCTTGTGCCTCTTGGCCATCTGTATGTCTTTGAAGAAATGTCTATTGAGATCTTCTGCCCATTTTTTGATTGGGTTGTTTGTTTTTTTGCTGTTGAGCTGCTGTTTATATATTTTGGAGATTAATCCCTTGTTGACTGTTTCATTTGCAAATATTTTCTCCCATTCTGAGGGTTTTCTTTTCTTTTTGTTTATGGTTTCCTTTGCTGTGCAAAAGCTTTTAAGTTTAATTAGGTCCCATTTGTTTATTTTTGTTTTTATTTTCATTACTCTAGGAGGTGGATTGAAAAAGATTTTGTTGCAACCTATGTCAGAAGTGTTCTCCCTATGTTTTTCTCTAAAAGTTTTTTTAGTATCTGGCCTTACATTTAGGTCTTTAATCCATTTTGAGTTTATTTTTGTGTATAGTGTTAGGGTGTGTTCTAATTTCATTCGTTTACATGTAACTCTCCAGTTTTCCCAGCACCATTTATTGAAGAGCCTGTCTTTTCTCTGTTGTATATTCTTGCCTCCTTTGCCATAGATTAGGTGACCATAAGTGCATGGGTTTATCTCTGGAGTTTCTATCCTGTTCCATTGATCTATATTTCTGTTTTTGTGCCAGTACCATACTGTTTTGATGACTGTAGCTTTGTAGTATAGTCTGAAGTCAGGGAGCCTGATTCCTCCAGCTCTGTTTTTCTTTCTCAAGATTGCTTTGGCTATTTGTGGTCTTTTGTGTTTCCATACAAATTGTAAAAATTTTCGGTTCTAATTCTGTGAAAAATGCCATTGGTAATTTGATAGGGATTGCATTGAATATGTAGATTCCTTTGGGTAGTATAGTCATTGTCACAATATTGATTCTTCCAATCCAAGAACATAGTATGTCTCTCCATCTGTTTGCGTCATCTTTTATTTCTTTCATCAATATCTTATAGCCCCATGACTTTTATCTCAAATCTATATTTCAGTCCAAACATCTCCCCCAGCTTTCATCATATCCAGCTGCCTGCTAGACCTCTTTAAAGTTCTGCAGTATGTACCTCACACACAATATATCCAGAATGGAATTTATCATTTCCTTTTTTCTCCCTCTTTCCTTAAGAGCCTACTATGCCAGCTATCCAAACACATGATAAGGATATGATTACAAAAATAATCTAGTCCTAGTATAAATATCCCAGAACCCAGTAATACACACATAAATGAACACAATGGATAAATGAATTTAATACAACATAAAGGTGGCATTAGTAGTTAGTGCTGGGATAACCAGTTAGGTATTGATGTTTGGGAAAGGGGAGTCACCATGAACCTGAGATGGATTAAAGACTTCAGTGCAAAAAAATAAATAACTAAATAAGAAATCATAAAAAACTGAAAGCAAATAAGCATGATTAAATCAGAAATATTTGCATGGGCTATTTTCAGTGAAAAACAGTGGACGTGACCTTCACCATGGCCCCTAGCTCCCTTAGCCTGTGTTCCATCCCAGTTGTCACCACCACTCCCATCACCAAACCAGAAACCTAAATGTCATTCATTGCTCCTCTCTCTCCATCAGCCCCTCACCCCACCTTCACTGAGTCCTCCTGGTTTTACCCCTTAGCATTTCTCTAACCTCCTGTTCCCATCGCCCCTACTGCCTTCCTGTTGCTCATTGCTGCCATGTGTCCCGGTTTTTGAAATAACATGCTGAAGTTTCCTTCCCTCCAGGATTGTCTTCCATACAGCTGCCAGAGGGATCTTTCTACAACACACATTGGACCTTCCTAAAATTTCCCAGGGCCTTCCCATTGGCCTCCCTGGTAAAGTCCAAACTCTCATGCAAGGCTCTCAGTGACCCAAACCCTGGGTTCTTCTCAGAGGTGCAGGTATTCTCTGCAGCCCTTCCAGAGAAGCCCGCGGGCTGGTCCAACTTGCTGCGGCTTGTGTGACGCAGCAGCATGGAGTCCAACGTGTCACTTTCTAGCACAGCTTCCCCTGCCTCTCTCACCCGCCCCGCCCGGGGCTTGTATCAGGCCAAATTACTGGGAGGCACAGCCTGGGGCCCGTGATGCTTTTAGGGACCCAAGAAAATATTTTAATTTTAATTTATTTTAAAATCAGGGAAAAATGAATATAATACTAGTGAATCTAGCATGGATTATATTCTTCTTTAAACCAGTGAGTCATAAAGTTTAATTTTTACCATATTTTAATGGAGGAAGGGGCCCATGAAAGCAGAAGTGCCTAGGGCCCATGAAAATTATAACGCAGACCTGATTACATTACCCAAATAAAGCATTTGCAGTTTAATCTTTACATCAGGCTCTGCTCTCTAGAGGCCGATGGACTTCATTCTCATGCTTGTTACCTCATGGACAAGAAGAGTGCTTGACCACCAGATATCGCCTCTTTATTCCTGAAAAATGGATACAATGCATCCCTCCTGGTTTCGAAGGAAGCACGGGCTTTACCATAAAGCCCATTCAGCAGACCTCTGCATCTGTCTCTCAGCCAGAATGTCACATAGATCACTTAACTGCAAGGGAGGCTGAGGAATCTAGTGGTTAGCGTCCCAGCCTGGAAAGTGGAGGAAGAGTATTGAGTGCTGACTGCTCAGGGCATAAAGGCCTCTGATCTGACCCTACTGCATGCTCCAGACCCATCTTTGGTCACCCCTGGCTCACAGGGGATGCTCAGCCATCTCCCACCATGTGCAGTTCCCCCTCCATCTACACCCTTTCTCACATCCACACCTTTGCCCTTCCTGACGTGCCCCACCCCCACCTCCCCACCACACTTCATCTTCCTTCAGGAATCCTTCCCTGACTTATCCTCCCACCACGGCCTCAGTGAGGTGCCCATCCTAGTTATTTTCATAATAGCCCAGACACAGTTGCCCCGAGGGACACAGGGATTGACAATGACCTATTTCTGCACTTTTCTCCTCTTGCCTCGGCAGTGCCCACCACGGTGCCTGGTTCATGCTGAATCTTGGTGAATGCATGATCTCCCCTCACCAGCCCCTCTCCTTTGTTTGCAGGCTCAGACAAGAGTCAGGGCATGTTGGCCTTGTCCATCAGTCCCAATCGGCGATACCTCGCTATCTCCGAGACTGTGCAAGAAAAACCCGTCATCACCATTTATGAACTGTCCGCCGTTCCTTGCCGAAAGCGCAAAGTCCTTAATAATTTTGACTTCCCAGTTCAGAAGTTCATTTGCATGGCTTTTTCTCCAGACTCCAAATACCTCTTGACCCAGACCTCACCTCCAGAGTCAAACCTTGTTTATTGGCTGTGGGAAAAACAGAAAGTAATGGCCATCGTTAGAACTGATACTCAGAACAATGCTGTCTACCAGGTACCACCCAGCACGAGAAGTATGGTGCAAATTATTAAAAAATAGTACAAGCTGTCCCTCATTAAATGCTTTTTCTGTGTCAGGAATAGTGCTAATTTCTTAAAATGCATTTTAAAATTTGCCTCACAACACCATAAAAGGTATGCATAATTATTGTCTCTGTTTTATTTATTTATTTTAAATTTATTTATTTTTGGCTGTGTTGGGTCTTCGTTTCTGTGTGAGGGCTTTCTCTATTTGCGGCAAGCGGGGGCCACTCTTCATCGCGGTGTGCGGGCCTTTCACTATCGTGGCCTCTCTTGTTGCTGAGCATGGGCTCCAGACGCGCAGACTCAGTAGTTGTGGCTCACGGGCCTAGTTGCTCCGCGGCATGTGGGATCTTCCCAGACCAGGGCCCGAACCCGTATCCCCTGCATTGGCAGGCGGATTCTCAACCACTGCGCCACCAGGGAAGCCCCTATTGTCTCTGTTTTAAAGATGAAGGAACTGAGGCTCCAAGGACTTAGCAGAGCCAGGGCTCCCTGATTCCAGGGACTGTGTTCTTCACTTTGGCCCAGAACTGCTTTCTGGTCCCAGGTCAAGCCCAGAGGCAGGTTGATCAAACTTGCTGTCTCTCCCTGATCCTGGCCTCTTCCGGGCAGCATTGCGGGGCAGTGGGAAGACTTCAGGAAGGTGGTGTGAAGTGGTAGGTCTTTAGGAAGCTGTCCATGAAATCGCACTTACGTGGGGAGCAGAAGTTTCTATCGTGGTTTGAGGGCAAAATGAAGAGGATGTGTCGGGGGGCTGGTTGGGGCCCAAGGAGGCTTTTCTTGGAGCAGTCAACCTGGTCTAGGATCTAGTGCTCAGTTTGCCAAGTCCAAGCACTCAGTTCTGTTCACGTTCAGAGATATTTGCTAGTCAGCATCTCAGGCACAGACTCCGTTATTCTCACAAGAGTCTGGCTTGTGAACCAGCATGTCACAACCAGAACACACAGCATTTATCCAGTGTATTTCCTCCCTGGTAACAGAGTCCTTGGGAGATGAAATTAGTAGTCAGAAGGTTGCTTGCTGATCACGGAATCAGAGCAAAGGCAGGTAGAGCCTGAAGGTTATTTCACCCAGGTCACAGTAAGGCATGATATGGCATCCTATTCAGAGCAGGGAGCACCTCCTCTCAAACAGATCCAGGAAACATTCATTGGATGCCCGCGCTGAACCCGGCACTGGGGATACAGAGATGAAAAAGCCACAGCCCCACCAGGTGCTCACCATCCAGTGGAGGTGACAGGTTGACTGCCCATGACTGCGCATTGAGATGAGGGTAGGGATAAAGGAAGTTTAGTCCCTGACATGTGGTTCCTTTGCCCTGAACAGGGCACGTAAACCTGCCAAACCCTCATTTTATGCTTCCAACTGAGCCTTCATTCCATTTTGTTGGCACAGAGTTTGGTGATTGTCAAGACCTGCTCATCTTGCTTTTTGGCCTTTGTCAGATGACTTTTGAAGGTTTCCTAGGTTAAAGACTCATGGGCTGTACAAATACAATGGATATAGATCTGTCCTCTTGTCAAATATGGTCTTAAAATTATATGATTTAGTGACATTTAAAAGATCCTATGAGCTACCTGGGATAACTCGTAATTAGTAAAATGGGAAATAATGCCATCAAGTTTAGTTTTATGTATCTTTTTCTTTAATTCCTTCCCATTTTACAGGTGAGCTTCAATCCCCAGGATAACACTCAGATTTGTGTCACTGGAAATGGGATGTTTAAGCTTCTCCGTTTTGCTGAGGGAACCTTGAAGCAAACTAATTTTCAGAGGGGAGAACCCCAAAACTATCTTGCCCACACTTGGGTGTCTGATGACAAGATTGTTGCTGGCACTGATACAGGCAGGCTCTTCCTCTTTGAGTCTGGAGATCAACGCTGGGAGACAAGTATCATGGTCAGGGAGCCCACCAGCGAGATGAAGAACCTGGGGGTGATCCAGGAATCCGAGAGGTAACGGCGCCCTCTGGGCAGGAGCTCTTGGAAAAATACACTCATCATGGTAATAGCATTACACCAAAAACAGCATTCCTTAAAAATCACTCCTATCCCCTCTACCTTAAAAATCAATGCTTTTCATTTTCCCTCTGTCTTTCTAGTGTTCTTCCATATTCAAGCACAAATTTGAAAGTTATGACCGTAACCTAGATACAATCCTTTTTATTTTTATACCTAACCTCATTTTATAAACGTTTTAGTATGATGTCTTCAAAACAACAGATTTTCAAAAATATGTTTTCTAATGGCTGCCTAATTTACTGAATCAATTAAATAAAAATGTCCACCAAGCCCTTGCAGTGTGCAAGACATCTTGCTAGGTGCTGGGGACACAGGTCCATCGGACCTTACAATTCAGTGGGAGGCACCAGACCAACAAGGAAGTTCAAGGAAATGTTGTCGGTCAATCTGACAAAGCATATGGGCTAAAGTGGGGGGTCAGGATAGAGCTGTCTATTTCACCTCTACTGCAACCAATAACAGTCGTATCTCACCCATATTGGAAAGTACCATTGTGTGTTCTAGACACTGCCTTAAGCACTTTATATATATCCTCATTTGAGCCTTACCCTAAAAAGTATATATTATTATCATGCCCGTTTTATAGATGAGGAAACTGAGGCTCAAAGAGGTTAAGTGCCTCACCCAGTATCACAGCACTGTTAAATGACAGGTCAGGATTCAAACCCAGACCTGTCTGACCCCAGAGCCTGAGCCCTCAACCACAATGGCACACTGTAGATGCCTCTTCCTCAGTGACTTTGGTTTCACCCATTTTCACCACCCTCCATGCCACTGACGTCTCCTTTTCTTATCGTGATTATGTTGAGAACTTCCTAATAAGACCATATGCCCTCCAGTTTTCTGGGTTCACCATCCTTCAGTGGGTCCAGAGCTCCAAGAATAAAGCTCAGACTCCTGAGCCTGGCCCACATGTCCCTGCTGCTCGGACCCTTCTTTACATCTGCAGCATCAGCTCTTACCCCTGTCTACCGCACATGCCTCGTGTACTCTCCTGCTTCTGGGCTTGGTCTGCCCCCACCCCGACCCCACTCCCCCGGACATAGACACATGCCTGACACAGTCCTCTTTGTCCTTCACTTCTCAGCTGGGAGCTCTCAGCCTCTGCTCATCTCAAATAGGTGGTGCTCCTCTGTAACTGTCCTCAGAAAACCCTCGTTAGCTGCTGACTGGTTGCTCCCATCCTACTCAGCCGCCCTTAACAGTCCTTATCACATGCCCCCTAGACCATCAGCTTCTCAGGGCAGAAACTGTGTCAACTTATTTACCATTGTTTCGCAGAGCTGTTAACACAGCATAACTCCAGTAAATGTTATATGAATGAATGAATGAATGAGTGAATGAATGAAAGAGAAACAATGGAAGGAAGGGAGGAAGGAGAAGGGAGGCAGGGAGGAAATGGAAACCTGGATTCAAATCTCAGCTCTTGGGACTTCCCTGGTGGTCTAGTGGTTAGGACTCCACGCTTCAACTGCAGGGGGCACAGGTTTCATCCCTGGTCAGGGAACTAAGATCCCACATGCCTTGCAACAAGGCCAAAACAAAAACAAAACAAAACAAAAAAACCCAAGTCTCAGCTCTTCCCTTTACTAATTTTGTGACCTTGGAAACAACCCCTCTGAGCCACTTTTTTCCAAACAACAAAATGAATATGATAATAACAATGAAAACAGTGACCACACAGGTTTGTGAGACTTCCACATAAATGCACAACCTTCCATCTTCCATGGAGCTCAGGTAGCATTCCCAGCCAAAGGGGAGCATTTGGGCCGTGGGAAAGGGGCTCACGCTGGTTTCTCCCACACCCAAGGACAGCCCTTCTTTCTCATCCCTAGCAGGATTCATCTCCTTGGAATCGTCTCTGTTATCTTTACATGCTGTCTTCTTTTCCAGCCTGATCGAATTTCCAACAATCACCTCCCCAGTCCCTTCCTACAAGCAGGTCGTGATGGCCAGTAGCCACCACCAGCTGTCCCTGCCCCAGGTATCTGCCATCGCAGCCTATTCCAAGGGATTTGCCTGCTCTGCTGGGCCAGGGAGAGTTCTACTGTTTGAGAAGATAGAAGAGAAGGAGTTTTACCGTGAGAGCAGGGAAATCCGGGTAAGGAGGGGAGGAAGAAGCAATACTGAGATCCAACTGGCATTTGTTCTCTGACAGCAGAGCACTGACAGGGCGTCTGGTGCGGGGAGAGGGGCTGAGGGCTGAGCCATTTGTCCTGAGGGGAGTTTTAGGATGGGTTGGACAGAATTGGGGTATAGAATTAAGGAGATCCAGATCTGACTCCTGGGAGAGGGCTTTGGCAAATTCTATTTTCTCTTTGAAGTTCAGTGTTCCCATAATGTATATTGATATTTAATGTCAAGAAAACTACCTGGTACACAGCAAGCATTCAGTAAATATTTGGGGAATAAGTGACACAAACTGTTGTGGAGAGAGAGCTTATCTGGTTGCGGAAGAACCAGGAAGGCTTCAAGGTGTTTGAGGATAATCTTTGAGGAAGGGTCGTAGAGGAAGAAACAGATCAGGGATTCCAGGTGAAAGGAACAAAATTAAGCAAAGGCACCACTGACAGGGAGCAGGTGGTGTGTTTGTGAGACACCTGTTGCCCCGTGGAAGAGCCTGAAGTCACTTGAAGGGAAAGAGAGGAGCTAAGGCTGGTGAAAGATGGCAAAGCCAGCCTGAGGAGTGTGTATGTACGTCGGCAGGCATCCTGTTTTCAGCAAAGAAGCATTATGCTTCAGAAAAGTAATCTATCTGCCTGTGATGCGTGGTGCGGGCCATTCGGGGGCATTGGATATGAAGTGGTTAAATACACAATGAATGAGTTAGACTTGACTCTGAGGTTTACTGGCTGAGTGACTTCACATGAGTTGCTGAATCTAGCAAACCTGTGTCTCTTTGTTAAGGAACTAGCCTATCCCTTGTGGTTATCGAAAGGATTAAACGACATCTCTGTAATCACTGATGCAGTGCCTGTGCTTAATAAATGATACAAGTTATTATTGCCACCGTTAGGAATCAGTTCTGAGGCTTTTTTGTTACTGAAGCGAAAAGGCAGCGAGGTCTAGGATCACAGCAGTGGGAAGCCGACAGAGCCTTTGTGAAGGTTAAGTCTGTAGGACGTTCCCTGAGCAGATGTGGGAGGCCAGAGATAAGGAGCTCTCAGGGAAGATGCCCAGGCTCTGTGCTGGATGCTGGGAAAGGATGCCACGGCACGAAAACTGGAGGTGAGAGCAAGGTGGGTGGGGACTCGGGGGGACCACTGTGAGTTTACTTTGCCTATAAAACAGGTCATTCTTTTGTGTGTTTATTCATTTAACAAATATTTATTGAGTGTTTACTATGTGCCAGGCTCTATGCTCGGGGCTGGGATACAGATGAGAAGTAACCACACTAAGACTTGCCCTTAGAACTCAGTCAACAAATAAACAAACAAATATGAACAGATTGTTGGATGAGATCCATTCTGTGAAGAAAATAAAGCCAGGAAAGGACGGGGTGCAAGAGGGGCTTCTGTTCTAGAGAGAGTGACCTGGGGAGGCCTCACTGAGGAATGTTGACATTTGACCAGAGACAAGGATAAAATGAAGCAGTTGGATATGTGGTTTAGACCTTGGGAGTGAGATCGATATATCCACCACACACACACACACACACACACACACACACACACACCCATACACACACATAGCGCTTGGCTTGTATCTGGCACATAGTCAATACTATTTTAAGTATTTATTATTGTAATTACTTTACTACTATTGTTTTCACTGAACCCTTATATTAGGTAAAATCACTGAGAGAGAAAAATATAGAGCCAAAAAGAGAACTGAGGACAAAACTTAGCATTTCCTAATTTCAAGACTGAGACAGGATGAGAATCCAGCAGGGCACTGAGAAGGTGTTGTCCTTCACTCATTCAGTCAACAAACGTCCGCCGTGCAGCTATCATGGGCCAGGCTCTGTGGTGTGGCCTGCGGTGGGTGAATCAGACATGAGCACTTCCCTCGTGGACCTCGCTGTCTGGGGGAGGACCGTGAGGCCACACCGCGCAGTCACTGAGCGCCTGCTATGTGTCAGGCACTGCTCCAAGCACCAGGAGACAGACGTGGGGACAGACACGGTCCTCGGTCTGCGGGCTCCCGTTCTACTTTATACAGTGTGATGCGTGTGACAGCAGAGGGAACCCCGGGTGCTGTGGGCACATTGAGGGAACATCAGGGCCCACTCAGCCCGGGGTGGTCAGGGAGGGCTTCCCAGAGCCCTTGCCGTTCTGGTGAGGCAGTGAGAGTAGACTTCATGAGGACAGGTTAGGGGGTACATAGGAAGACAGGACTCCAGGCAGGGGGAGGGCGGCACAGGAGGCCAGGGCCTTCTAGGGAGGAAGGTGCCAAGGTCACTGCTGCAGGCTCTAGAAAAGCCTAGAAGATGAGGGCCGAGCAGGGACATCAGGCTTTGGTGATATTTATGAGAACAGTTTCAGTAAATGATGCGGTGGAAGCCACATTATAAGGAATTAAGAACTGAGTGGGTGGTAGGGAAGTGGAGATGGTATGTGCAGACCAGCCTTTCAATAAGTTTGGTTGTTAGTGGAAGGAGAGAAATAGCAGGGAAAAGGAAATCTAGTTTCATAATGTCCACTAGGAGCTCCCGGCCCTCTGAGACCGCTGCAGGAGCTGTGTGACCCCTTCTCTTCTCTCTGCCCTGTCACCCACTCCACATGGTAGAAGGGCTGCCACCTTCCCCTCTACTGCCCTGGAGCACACACTGTGTACCTGGTGCAGGTGGGCGCCCACACTGGGCTCCCAACAGCTGGGCGAGAGTCGGGGTTAGACTAACGCTTGTTGTGAGGGGGGATCTCAAACTGAGACGTACAGATGGATCAGTTTCACCTGTGCTGCTGCCTTATTATTCAGCCACTAATCACTTAAAGGTGAGTAGGAAACCCACAGGAACGGAGGCCCCTCAAGCCCTCCCTTCTCCACATCTGAGGAGGATCCTGGAAGCATGGTCAGGAGTCTATAAGCTACAGTATCTGAGAGAATCTGAAAGCCCAAGGACACCCTGACAATGTGAGGGCATTGCTGACCGCTGTTCTGTGTCTTGGGCAGATTCCTGTGGACCCACAGAGCAATGACCCGAGTCAGTCAGACAAACAGGACGTGCTCTGCATGTGCTTCAGCCCCTCTGAGGAAACGCTGATCGCCAGCACCAGCAAGAACCAGCTCTACAGCATCACCATGTCCCTGATGGAGATCAGCAAGGTGAGTCTCCCAGCAGCGCTTCCTTCCAGCCCGGGGACTGGTCACCATGTGGGAAAATTTTAATCCAATTCCTGAGTGCAGGCTCACTCACCACTTCATAACAGAGCAAAAGAAACTCAAATTTCAAGTTGTCCATGTAAGGAGCGCTCCGATACCCTGGGCGGCGGGCAGAGGGGTGCCCGGGAATGTGATTGCTGCAGCCTCTTTGGAGAACACCCTGGAGACATCTGTCAGATTTAAATTGTACCTGTCTTTAACCCAGCAAGCAAGTGTACTTCAGGTATTTAATGTACGGCTATACCTGCTTCTGTGCACAGAGATGTATATATGTAAAGGTTTATCATTGCTTTTTGTTTTTAAATAACAAAGAAAGCCAGTATGAATACACTGCAGACATTGCAACAAAAAAGCGGTATTAAAGATAAAAAGAAGCACTTTGTACTTATAAAAGGTTCACTTCATCAAGCAGACATTAGTTTTAAATTTGTATGCACCTAATAGCATGGACTCAAAATATATCCAGCAAACTTTGGCAAAACAACAAGGAAAATAAACCACCTACAATCGTAGGAGATTTTAATATATCTTTCTCAGTAATGGTGGTTTTCTAAATAACAGCTGTATTGAGTTATAATTCATTATACAGTTCACCTATTTAAAGTGTACAATACAGTGTTTTTTAGTATATTCAGAGTTGTGCAGCCATTACCTTCATCAATTTTAGAACACTTTCATCACTTAAAAAAAAAATGTGCCCTTTAGCTATTATGCTCCCACCATCCCATCTGCCTCCCTCCCAGCTGTAGCCAACCACTACTGTCTTGTGTCTGTATAAATTTGCCTTTTCTGAACATTGCATACCAATATGTGGACTCTTGGGACTGGCTTCTTTCATTTAGCACAATGTTTTTAAGTTTCATCCGTGTGGTAGCATGTATCAGTACTCCACTCCTTTTTTATTTTTGTCTGCGTCGGGTCGTTGAGGCATGCAGGATCTTTCGTTGTGGTGCTTGGCATGCAGGATCTTTCGTTGTGGTGCTCGGGCTTTTCTCTAGTTGTGGCATGTGGGTTTTCCCTCTCTAATTCTGTCGTGCAGGCTCCAGGGCGCGTGGGTGCTGCAGTTTGCGGCACGTGGGCTCTCTCCTTGAGGTGCATGAGCTCAGTAGTTGCAGCGCATGGGCTTAGTTGCTTCACAGCATGTGGAATCTTAGGTCCCCAATCAGGGATTGTACCTGCGTCCCCTGCATTGGAAGGCAGATTCTTTACCACTGGACCACCAAGGAAGTCCCTTGTACTCCATTCCTTTTCATGTCCAAGTAATATTCCATTGCATGGCTGTACCACTTTTGTTGGTCTAATCATCAGTTGATGAACATTTGGGCTGTTTCTGACTTATAGGTATTATAAATACTGCTGCTATAAACATCTGTGTACAGGTTTTTCTGTAGACATATGTTTTTATCCTTCTGGGTGTATACCTAGGAGTGGAATTGCTGGGTCACGTAGTAACTCAATATTTAAACATTTAAGGAACTGCCAGATAGTTTTCCAAGGTGCTGCACCATTTATATTCCTATCAGCTGTGTACGAGTGTTCTCATTTCTCTCTATTTTTGCCAACATTTGTTCTTATCTGATTTTTAAATTACGCTCACTCCCTCCTGCAAGAGCACCGGAATCACAACTAACTGCTGAACAATCATCAACAGGAAGACACTGGAACTCACCAAAAAAGATATCCCACATCCAAAGACAAAGGAGAAGCCGCAATGAGATGGTAGGAAGGGTGCAATCACAATAAAATCATATCCCATAACAGCTGGTGGGTGACTCACAAACTGGAGAACACTTATACCACAGAAGTCCACCCACTGGAGTGAAGGTTCTGAGTGACACATCAGCCTTCCCAACCTGAGGGTCCGGCAACAGGAGGAGGAATTCCTAGAGAATCAGAGTTCGAAGGCTAGCAGGATTTGATTGCAGGACTTCAACAGGACTGGGGGAAACAGAGACTCCACTCTTGGAGGGCACACACAAAGGAGTGTGTGCATTGGAACCCACGGGAAGGAGCCGTGACCCCACAGGAGACTGAATCAGACCTACCTGCTAGTGTTGGAGGGTCTCCTGCAGAGGCAGGGGGTGGCTCTGTCTCACCATGAGGACAAGGACACTGGCAGCAGAAGTTCTGGGAAGTACTCCTTGTTGTGAGCCCTCCCAGAGTCCGCCATCAGCCCCACCAAAGAGCCTGGGTAGGCTCCAGTGTTGGGTCGCCTCAGGCCAAACAACCAACAGGGAGGGAACCCAGCCCCACCCAACAGCAGACAAGTGGATTAAAGTTTTACTGAGCTCTGCCCACCAGAGCAACAGCCAGCTCTACCCACCACCAGTCCCTTCCATGAGGAAACTTGCACAATCCTCTTAGATAGCCTCACCCACCAGAAGGCAGACAGCAGAAACAAGAAGAGCTACAATCCTGCAGCCTGTGGAACAAAAACCACTTTCACAGAAAAATAGACAAGATGAAAAGGCAGAGAGCTATGTACCAGATGAAGGAACAAGATAAAACCCCAGAAAAACAACTAAATGAAGTGGAGATAGTCAACTTTCCAGAAAAAGAATTCACAATAATGATAGTGAAGACGATCCAGGACCTCAGAAAAAGAATGGAGGCAAAGATCGAGAAGATGCAAGAAATGTTTAACAAAGACCTAGAAGAATTAAATAACAAACAGAGATGAACAATACAATAACTGAAATGAAAAATACACTAAAAGGAATCAATAGCAGACTAACTGAGGCAGAAGAATGGATAAATGACCTGGAAGACAGAATGGTGGAATTCACTGCTGTGGAATAGAATAAAGAAAAAAGAATGAAAAGAAATGAAGACAGCCTAAGAGACCTCTGGGACATTAAAGGCAACAACATTCACATTATTAGAGGTCCCAGAAAGAGAAGAGAGAGAGAAAGGACCCGAGAAAATATTTGAAGAGATTATAGTTAAAAACTTCCCTAACATGGGAAAGGAAATAGCCACCCAAGTCCAGAAAGTGCAGAGAGCCCCATACAGGATAAACCCAAGGAGAAACATGCTGAGAAACATAGTAATCAAACTGGCAAAAAGTAAAGAGAGAAAAATTATTGAAAGCAGCAAGGGAAAAATGACAAATAACATAAAAGGGAACTCCCATAAGGTTAACAGCTGATTTCTCAGCAGAAACTCTACAAGTCAGAAGGTAGTGGCATGACATATTTAAACTGATGAAAGGGAAGAACCTACAACCAAGACTACTCTACCCGGCAAGGGTCTCATTCAGATTCTATGGAGAAATCAAAAGCTTTATAGACAAGCAAAAGCTAAGAGAAGTCAGCACCACCAAACGAGCTCTACAACAAATGATAAAGGAACTTCTCTAAGTGGGAAACACAAGAGAAGAAAAGGACCTACAAAAACAAACCCAAAACAATTAAGAAAATGGTCATAAGAACATACATATAGATAATTACCTTAAACGTGTATGGATTAAATGCTCCAACCAGAAGACACAGGCTCGCTGAATGGTTACAAAAACAAGACCCCTCTATATGCTGTCTACAAGAGATGCACTTCAGACCTAGGGACACATACAGACTGAAAGTGAGGGGATGGAGAAAGGTATTCCATGCAAATGGAAATCAAAAGAAAGCTGGAGTAGCGATACTCATATAAGACAAAATAGACTTTCAAATAAAGAATGTTACAAGAGACAAGGAAGGACACTACATAATGATCAAGGGATCAATCCAAAAAGAAGATATAACAATTATAAATATATACGCACCCAACATAGGAGCACCTCAATACATAAGGCAACTGCTAACAGCTATAAAAGAAGAAATCGACAGTAACACAATAATAGTGGGAGACTTTTAACACCTCACTTACCCCAATGGACAGATCATCCAAACAGAAAATTAATAAGGAAACACAAGCTTTAAATGACACAATAGACCAGATAGATTTAATTGATATTTACAGGACATTCCATCCAAAAACAGCAGATTACACTTCCTTCTCAAGTGCAAATGGAACATTCTCCAGGGTAGATCATATCTTGGGTCACAAATCAAGCCTCAGTAAATTTAAGAAAATTGAAATCATATCAAGCATCTTTTCAGACCACAATGCTATGAGATAAGAAATCAATTACAGGGGAAAAAACATAAAAAACACAAACACATGGAGGCTAAACAGTACGTTAGTAAATAACCAAGAGATCACTGAAGAAATCAGGGAAATCAAAAAATACCTAGAAAAAAAAAAACACCTAGAGACAAATTACAATGAAAACACAATGATCCAAAACCTATGGGATGCAGCAAAAGCAGTTCTAAGAGGGAGGTTTATAGCAATACAATCCTACCTCAGGATACAACAAACATCTCAAATAAACAATCTAACCTTACACCTAAAGGAACTAGAGAAAGAAGAACAAACAAAACCCGAAGTTAGTAGAAGGAAAGAAATCATAAAGATCAGAGCACAAATAAATGAAATAGAAACAAAGAAAACAATAGCAAAGATCAATAAAACTAAAAGTTGGTTTTTTGAGAAGATAAACAAAATTGAAAAACCATTAGCCAGACTCATCAAAAAAAGAGGAAGAGGACTCAAATCAGTAAAATTAGAAATGAAAAAGGAGAAGTTACAACAGACACTGCAGAAATACAAAGCATCCTAAGAAACTACTACAAGCAACTCTATGCCAATAAAATGGACAACCTGGAAGAAATGGACAAATTCTTAGAAAGGTGTAACCTTCTGAGACTGAACCACGAAGAAATAGAAAATATGAACAGACCAATCACAAGTAATGAAATTGAAACTGTGATTAAAAATCTTCCAACAAACAAAAGTTCAGGACCAGATGGCTTCACAGGTGAATTCTATCAAACATTTAGAGAAGAGCTAACACCCATCCTTCTCAAACTCTTCCAAAAAATTGCAGAGGAAGGAATACT